GGGGGGGGGGTTGTGCCTCTGTAGAATATGCTAATTGCCTTGGAAGGGGCGAATTGCATCGTTCATTTATGCCTTTCCCTCTATAGTACACTATGGTCTTTAGTTGGTATATTGGAAAATTGCGCATGTATCAGTTACCAATTGGACGAACTTGATACCTGCAACTCGACACGGCCGCCACAAGCTTTCCTGCCGATTTGTACGTTGTTGCCCCTTTTTCTACATTACTCCCTCGCCTTTTCTAACTTACACTGTCTCCTAAATTACGCTGTCGTGTGTCTCATATGCATAAATCCCCCTTCTATGTATTCCATAACTTCGTACAGTGCACACTCCAATCATCCTCGTCGCCGCTACTGCTGCCGTGGCCACCGATCCGCACGCACACACACACCTCATCTACACTACCGCTCCGCTGTACGGTGCGCGCGCCGCTAATCCACGTTACGCTACCGCTATCGCCGTCGTGGCCGCCGCTGTGGTCGCCGCTCACACTACGTGAGGCAGCGAAGTGGCCGCCCTGTGCTGTTGTGCTGTTCCCCCGTGCGTGCGTGGTTGTGATGGCGGCATCCATCCGTGCGCAGTCGTACGTTCAGTAGTCGGGCCGTGCGGGGCGTATGCGGCTCTATGGAGCCGTGTTCGTCGGTATCGGCCGTGTATTCGTATTCAGACGCATGCGTACTATGCGTATTCGTATTGCCCGTATTAGTAGCACTGTGATGCTTTAATGTTCTTACCATTCGTATCCTCCTCTTCATCGTCATCCGCATCGTCGTCGTCCGATGCTTCGGCGGCGGAGTCAGTAATTGGGGATTCTGCATATTTCCCCTTGCTACCACTTTCCTTCACTTCTTTCTTAATTTCTCTGAATATTTTAGCCATACCTTTGCTTAGATTCTTCGCTATTTGTACTACCTGGGCTTTTACTATGTCCCCGTCCTCCGTATTTTTCGCACCTTGCCCCTGTGTCGGGAGTTCTCCTATATTACGGCTACAGTTCGTACGGACACGTGCTTTCTTTATTCTGTTCCCTATGCTTTCATGTCTACGTAACCATTCTTTAATACGTTCTTTCATAGACCATCCTTCTACCTCAATATCTTCTTCCATTCCGTTCTTACATGTTTCCTCATATATTAAGTTCCGTGCGAACGGTCCGTCATTCTTCATTTGCTTCACGGAGTACCATGCGTAGAATGTACCCCACGGACTCGCACATGCTGATTCCTCCAATAGATGCATAAACATATTTACAATTCCGCATCTTATAAAATCCTTCAGGTCCTTATTCGGCCCAGTGTCGGACATATCATCGAACGTCGCAGAACTCCAACCATTTGCAAAATACAATGCTTTAGTCATAAGTGTGCATATAATTCTGTCACCCATGCTTGTAACTACTCTGGGTCGCGCAGTGGGCAGCGTCCAGTGCTGCCATGCAGTGTTCTTGCAATTCGCATAATACATAGCGTCCATTCCGTCCTCTTTCAAATGGTCCATAAACTTCTGCAGTTGGTCCTCTATATCCTGCCATAAACTTTTCTGCAATTGGAGTAATGCGGGGGCATGTACATATATGTCAGTTTCGTGTCTTCACGGAAGATACGCACGCCAGTCGCGGCTATGCTACATTCTGTACCAGGTATGCTATGCTCACATCGGGCATATGCGTCCCGTGCAAGTAACGTGAACATATGTATGCTGCAAACTGAGTACCGTGCCTATCGTGCACGTGTACACATGCATATGTGTAGGCGCCTGCTCGCTCCATGTGTCCCTCACAATAAATTACCGTATATGCTGGTTCATCCGCCCCTAGTCTCCTGTGCAATACATATTGTGCTAATAAATGTCCCAACGTCGCATACGACATATTGTCATTATCATGAAGCAATAGTGTGCAACGGATGAAACCATTAGCTGTCAAATAACGGCTTGAGTATAATATGGACACAATATTTTATTACATATTATTCAGATGCTTAGGGAATGGAACATGTCTTCCTTGTAAGGTCCTTGCGGAAGCATGTCCCATGACCAAACTATGCCCTATCTGAATGTAATCACACACCCTATAAAGCGTGGGGTTTGGAAGTAGGAAAAAGAGAAATCAAACAAGGGAAATAGGACCAAAAACAAAAAAGAAAAAAAGGAAAAAACAGGAAAAATACGGCCCTCATAACAAATACCCCCTATACCCAAAACGGAACAACAAAATCAATTCCAAAATTCTTGGTCTCGTTCGCGCACAACATATGTGTGCCTTGTCCAGCCGCGTGCACACTGTCTCTGTGTGCGTACACAACCAAACCGCAGTATAACAACAAAATTAAATTCTTCTGCCGTCGTTGCTGCCTTTGCTCCGAGACAATCCTCCTCCTTCTTGCACTCGGCCGCGTTACTCGGCTACTTCGTCGAATCCGTCTTGAACTTGGCCGCGTTTGCGCGGAGACAACGGTCCTCCTTCGTGCACGCGGCCGCTTTGGTCGACGCGTGTGCTCGGAGAGACAATCTGTCCTCCTTCTTACACGCGCGCACAATGTTTACGAGGACGAGGCAACGACGGCAGAAGAATGGATGTTGTTATACTGCGGTTTTTTTGTGTACGCAGAGCCGACAGTGTGTGCAGGCGTTTAGTGAAGAAGGCGGCGGGGAGTGTATATGCATGACACGTTTTGTGTACTGTTTTTCCTGTTTTTTCTTGTCTTTTTTTCTTTTTTTTTCTTCTCTACGGGGGGACATTCTTCATGTGTAGAAGAGAGACAGAGTCTTCTCTATTTTGTGTAGAAGATGTTGTTATAAGTTTGTAGGAATATGTTGTTTGTGCATCACTTTTTTTTTCTTGTTTCCCGTGTTTGATTTTTTGTTTTCCTTCTTCCATAGCACAATTTATGGGATGTGTCATTAAATTCAGATAGGGGAAAGTTTGTTCATGGGACATGTTTCCGCAAGGAGGCTACCTGGAAGACATGTTCCATTGCCTAAGCATCTGAATAATATATATAATACAATATTGTGTCCATATTATATTCAAGCCGTTATCTGAGCGATAATGGTTTCATCCCTTGGAGTCTATTGCTTCATGATAAGGACAATATGTCGTATGCGACGTTAGGGGCTTTATTAGCAGACTACCTGCTAAAAAGGGGTCTAGTGGACAAACATGAGCAGTATACGGTAATGTACGCAAAATAACAGGGGAGGCGTGGTGTAATTATAACAGCCTCTATATATGATAGTATGTATACATGCCTGTGTATATATTGTACGCATGCGACCGTGCACTAATTCTATATTACTTACACAATGGGAAGATATCGTACGTGCAGCACGTACACATGTGTGGGCACATGTGAATATGGACGAGAGAGCTGCAGTGGCCAATTATGCACACACATATATGTTCCTTGTGCAACATGCAGCAACGCCTATGGATAGATATAAAAGCGGTACTGGACAAATTTGTGGAACATATGGAAGACGATATTGTGCAGCACTTTGCATCTAATTGTTTAAACAAGGGTTACACATATCCGCAAAAGGGAAACAGACCGATCGTAGCTAACGTGGGCGATAGAATTATGTGCACACTCATGACAGGAGCATCATATTTCCTGAACGGGTGGAGTTCGAAGTCAGCCAGCTGGGAGGATCACAGCAGCAACAAAAAAGAGTTGGAGCAATATATAAGGTGTGCTGTAGCAAATATATTTATGTACATATTGAACGAATCTCCATGCAAAAGTGACATGGGTGTATATTATGCATGGCACACTGTGAAAAAGATGGAGGCGCATATGGGTGGATTACTTACACAGCGCAAGTGCCGCAAGGGGCTGTTTGCAGATATACAAATCGAGGAATTCGACATGCAGACACAGATTACGACATGGTCAGAGAACAACAAAAGGTTGACTGACAAAATTGGAGGCCAGGGTATAGACAGCACATGTAGGAAAAGCTTAGCAGAACTTGACGGGGCAACACAGGGTATATACCCTATGCATGGACAGATTGAACTGCAGCCACAGGAGAAAACACTGATACAGACACTAGGCCAAGACCTGAAGCTCATAGTTGAGGAGGTAAAGACAGAAGTAGTGCAATGCGCGCAGGCAAATGGAGCATGCATTGAGTCTATCCAAGACGTCTCCAGTAGCGATCTCGAGGATAATGACACTGAGGCCACAGCACCCAACTCTGTCGCCGGCGGCACACCAGCACCACCACTCGGCAGCGGACCACAACCTTCGACACCGGACCCGCCGACGCCGGCAAACACAACACCAGAGAAGCCAAATAAAGGACCCGTAGGTAAGACCGAGGGGAGAAAGCACCAATACGGCCCGCACACGAATACGACCCGTACGCATATGGATGCCGCCACGGCAACAACACGCACGCGGCGGCCACGACGGCAGCGGTAGGGGCGACCACTGTGTAGACGAGGTCTGTGTGCGGACGGGGGAATATTTCCCCCCGGGGTGCAACATTGTTACTGGTGGAGAAGGGAGGGATATCCATGCAGCGACAGAATT